TAAGGGCTCGAGCATCCCCCTCACCCCAAGCCAGGCGCAAAGCGGGCAGGGTGCAAGAAGCCCTCACCTCCAGCACCGCATCATCAGGCACCACTGAAGAAAAGCCTGCCCATGCACCCTTTGCTCACACCAGCTGCTGTCGGCTAGAACTGCTTTTAAAGGTAACCAGGAACAGAGAAGAGCTCTGGATTGCTTTAATCCTTTCCAAAAAAGTATTGCTAGCCCAGCAGCTGTCCTCCCCCTGTGCCTGTGAGGATTTGTACTCATAAGGCTGGATAATTTGACAGGGATAACACACAGTCAGGCACAGGTAACCTCAGGCTTCCCGAGGTTGCTCTTCACTTGGCACGGTTTGCCAGCCTGATAAATCCAGCCCCATGTGCCACCCTCCCCTCCCTCCCTTCACACAGAGGAGTGGGACGACAGCCTTGGAGCGTGACTCAGACACACAGGGGACCGAGGACCTTCCCTTCCCGCAGGCAGGGCGCTGGGATCACTGGGCACCAGTAAGCACAGAGGCACCGCAGGCATGGGGAGCCAGGAGCCGCGGCAATGCGGGAGCGGGGATGGGCAGGGCCGTCCCACAGGGACCTGTGGCAGCAAGGGGGACTGGGGGCGAGGACGTGAGCCATGGAGCCAATGGTTAATACAGAGCCAGCATCCCCGTCCCCCACACCAGGAGTGGTGCGGAGCACGGCGAGGGGCAGGACTGCAGTCCAGCGCGCACACGGCCCGTGCGCGGCTCACGGGGCACCCCGGTAGCTGTAGTGATTGCGGTCGGGGTCGCTCATGGTGAGCGGCAGGCTGGGCTTGCGCTCCGGGTCCTTCTCATCGCACTGCCGCGGGGGTCGGTGCTTGAAGAAGTCAGAGACGTAGCGGACCTGGAAAGATCAACAGAAAGAGGCTTTGGGGACCCCTCCAACCCCCTCCAGCAGGCTGAGCTGCAGCCAGTGGCAACCCGGCAGAACATCAGGTTGCACAGGGGACACTCACGATGAGGACAGCAATGAGAGCCCCTTGGATCAGCCCTGCCAGCACATCGCTCCAGTGGTGCTTGTAGTCAGACACCCTGGTGTAGCCCACGTAGATGGCGAAGGCGATGAGGAAGAACTGGATGGTGGGGCGCAGCAGTCGGGCCCACTTCCCCACCAGCCGGGCTTGCACGTAGAGCTGGGCAGGGAAGGGAGGAGCAATCACCCAGCGCAGGGTGCATCAGCTAGCCTGAAGATGGGGTGCTCAGGGCACCGGTCTGCTTGGGAGGACAGGACAGGACCCGCCGCCTTCCCGCAGCACAGCATGCCCAGAGCATGGCACTTACCGCCAGGAACATCATGCAGTACATCCCAAAGGAAGAGTGTCCAGAATAGAAGGAGAGTCTGCGGGTCAAAAGGAATGGGTCACACCATGAGAGCAAACCCGCAGTGCCCAGCTGGACCCCCACAAGCCCCTCGTCCACTCTGCGAGCTCTGCCCTGCAGCAGGAGAGCATTAACACCCGTCTGGGTATCTGCAGGAGACTGCAGGAGCCCAGCACTGCTGGGCAGGTGGAGGGGACATGTCCTGTGGCCCCACAGCTCACCTGGACTCGGTGACATTCCTTCT